ACAGCCTGGGCGCCATCTTCTCCTTCGTCTCCAAGGACGCGGTGGCCAAGGTGCAGATCATGGAGAACTACTGCCGCGGCGAGCAGCGGGAGAAGTACGTGTCGCTGCAGTCCATGGTGGAGTACGAGCTGGCCAGCGGGCTGGTGGACGTCCAGAAGCGGTCGGGGCGGCCCGACTCGGGCTGCCGCACCGTCCTGCGCCTCCACAGGGCCCTGCGCTGGCTGCAGCTCTTCCTGGAGGGTCTGAGGACCGGCGGGGGGGACTCCCGGACTTCGGTCATCTGCACGGACTCCTACAACGCTTCCCTGGCGAGCTACCACCCCTGGATCGTTCGCAAGACTGCCACGGTGGCCTTCTGCACGCTGCCGCCCCGAAACGCCTTCCTCGAGATCATGAACGTGGGCACGCCCGAGGAAGCTGTCGCTATGCTGGGTGAGGCCTTACCCCACATCTGCGATGTCTACGGCATCACCCAGGAGCTCTTTGCCCAGCATAAGCTGCTCGACCTTCCTTGACAGGAGGGATGTTAAAGAGCCACGCCACGTTCTGACAGAAGTTGGGTGAACCGGATGAAAACCGCGCGTTTTCACAGATGCGCAAGCGTCTGGTTCTCTGTCCGTGGTCACTCTCCCTTTCCTTTTCCAGTACGGAGCTGACAAGTTGGCAAAGCTACTCAGGATGCCTCACTTCATATGAGAAGAAAATGCAGTGATTTTTCTAATACGTATCTGTGTGCGTAGAGCCTCAGCACTACAGTAAGAAAAAAAACACTATTAAGCAAGCTTAAGGGATTTTTTTCTCCTCCTGGATTCACCTTCAACTCTCCAGCTAGGCTGGGAGTGGGGCATTTTGGTTTCTTTTTTTAAGCCAAACTCTGCAACTTCAGCAGCTTCTGTACGTTTACACCAATAGTTAGGGCCTTGTGTGACAGCACAACTTTCAGATATGGCTCTGAACACATGTACACTATATGTGAGCTCACTTTGTCACTTTTGTTTACAAGCTGTCCCCTTGAATAGATTGGGGGTCGGGCCTCTTTTACGCTTTAACCTTGAAAATACAATCCTGAGTAATGCGTGTCTGGAAGGAAGCTCTTTTCCTTGTAGTCAGAGACTCATCTGATAACTGCTGGTAATTCTGTGTCCCCTAGAATTAAAGAAGGAAATGGTGGTGTATGTTGTTATTGTAAGAGACCGTTCTTCCTTTGTGCATGGATCCATTAAGCAGCACATTCCTTCTGTGTAGCTTCCCCTGCCCATTAATCTATGCTTTACAGTCTTGGGATGTGGAACACTCTTTAGTATATACTACATATCCGGCTAAGGCTGCAGACTGTACCTTTTCTGTTTTCCAGCCATGCTTCTAAATCGTGTTCTCATGATTATTTTTTTTAATGAATGTGTCAAATGCGTACAAAAATGACTTCTCTGACTGTCTGGGGAGAAATCTGAACTTGTACTGTAAGTCACTATTTTGTGAGCCTTATGGCTTCTCTTGCAAATCACTGTATGTAGTAGCTGGCATGTAAAAGGGAGTTTACTTAGCTTTTTGAAAGCTGAAAAAGCACTACATTGTTAGTTCAGGATGACATGAATATTTGGGGGAGGAGGGAGAACCCCACAGGCTGTAAGATGTTTTGATTGTAACTCGGACAGAAGGCATTTTGCCCTAATGTAACACTGCCTGATTCAGGAAATCACTATTACCTCATAGGGATTACTCTAACTGGACATTAAATTTATGTGAACAACATGCTTCTGAAGAGTATCCTTTATAGGAATGCTTTCTAGTTTTGTGGTGTTGGAAGGAACACGACTTAGAGTGTTACTTACTCATACCTTGTCCTTCACTAGCAGGGTCTCTTTCATTTACCTAGTGATCAGATGTGAAACCAGCTGCTGGGAGTAGCCCAGGTGAAGGTACATGCTGTGTACTGAGCTCCTATTCTGCTTACTCACATCTATCAACAATATCTTTTGCCAGAAGATAGGAAATGGAATTTCCTTGAACATCCTAAATGGAGATTTAGTTGCTATGCTGTGAAAACACAAATCGTTCCCTTTCTGCTAAGACCACCTTAAAATGATTACATAGTTCCATAGGCTAAATCCATATATTAAAATGGAGAAGTTCCATGTTACAAACTACAGAATACGACTTGCTGGACCTCCCTTGGTGTCTGACAGAGATATAGCTGGTATTTCATCTGTGTAGCATATTAAATGCTTTAAACTATGTCAAGCAATGTTGCGTGTCACGTGAAAAAATGTTTCAGATCTCATGGGAGTTTAATGCAGAAATGGTAGTATGACCACACAGGAAAATGACTTTTTCTCCCTTGTCACATTCATTCTCAACTATTCCTCTTATGATAAACATTAATGTTGAAAATTAACTTGATTTTTGCTATTAAAGAATCAAACTTTCTCAGTAGGGCAAAAAAACTCTGTTGTAAGTTTATAGCCAGTCACTTTGGGCAAAGTATGCTTCAAGTAAGATACAGCTTTCCAGCAGTCTGCATGCTCCCATTTAAACAAGGTATCGCCTAATGATAATTTTATTTTCCTGGTGTCCTGCTCTGTCTCCAAATGATGGGAACCTTTTTAACAGCCCCAGTTAGTTACCACTGAGTAAAACTAAGGGCCTGTACTTGCCTTTGGGCAAGTTCAGAGTCTGACAGCTTTCGCTAATGGGGCCAAATCCAGAAGAGTAAAACCTTCACCTGCAGTGACTGTGTACTTGAAAGCTGCAACAATATGGAGATTCACTAGAGGGAGCTTGAATATTTTGCACAAAACTCCACCACATAAACTATGTCCTATGCCACAGTAATCATACTTAACTTGATCTCATGTGAAAGTATGGCTGGGAGTAAATAATTGCCTATGTGTGACTTCTACACCATTCAAACGCTTTTTTTTTTTACCCCCTCTGTGCAGTTGAACTTGTATTTAGAATTTATTTTAAAAGAAATTATATAGTTAAAGCTAACACTTAAATATTCCATTAAGGGGAAGGTGTCCTTAAAAGGATGTCAGTATAAACATATCTATATAAAGTAGATACAGAAATCTACAACTGTTGCTTGCCTGAAGTACTCTCACACTCAGCTAGCTACAGCGCATCTCCTTCTCTCCATACACGGAAAAATGTTCTAGCCTTGTGGCAAAAGCGGCACATCACTTTGGCAGTATAAGCAGTTTTTATGCCACAGTATAAATACATACAATAAGCCAATAAAATGCAGTACATGGAACTTTCCAATTCAAAGCTATCCTGTTTTCTCACATTCAAACCCGACAGAAAAAATGTAAACCATGATGCAACCTAAATTACTATGCTATGTAACTTGTACCTAAACCAGAGTCTTTAAACTGAAGTTAACATAGCTCAGTGTGAGAAAAATTTAGATCAGCCAATAACAACTTCCTAAAAATAGCAGTATAGCCGAGTAATAGCTCACCAACCTTGCAATCTAGGAATGGCCTGCTCCAGACAAGTTCTTGCAATGCACTGAGGAAGATTTGGTTATCGCCATGACGAGGTGACCTTGAAATTAAAAAAAAAAAAAAAATTTACTGCTGTGTACATCTCTTACCACTACCCTTTAGTTCAGGCAACTCAACGTTATTATTCTGAAGCTCATTTAAAAATAAATTATGTGACATTCCTTGACTGCAGGCCGCTCTCCTAAGTAGGGTGCACGCAAGTGAACGCTTGGGTCAGAGACAGCCCGGGAGAACCGCAGAGAGCAGCGGGAAGCAAATGCTGGTGAGCAAGTCCATTTTTTCTTACTCAGCCTCCATATGGGTAACGGCCATATTATGGGAACAGGCACCACTCCCCAGAAGGCACACTTCAGTCTGTTGGATTCCGCTCCTACCAAAGCACGCTCTCCTCGGCAATGCTTCTAGACGAGCAACGTGCACGGGTTAAGATCTGCTCCCAGCGTTAGACAAGTCACAAATCTAGTTGGCTGTGAAAAATGCGAACAGGGGCAGTTTCTACAAATGCATGCCATTAAAGATGTTTCTTGTTTGGTTGGGGCGGGGGGGGGTTAATTCAAGAGACATGTCCAGATTAGGGTGGGGCACCTGAGCTTACCACCTACCCTACAGAAAGTCCAATTTCCAGAGCTGTGACAAGGAACTCTGCTTGAGTAAAGGCTACTCATTGAGTAAAGGAAACCAGGATTAGGCCAGTGGTTTGCAACAAAGTACGCTTACAGGGTATTGCTGCGTATTTGACTTGCCCACTAAGCATAGGGTTACACATTTAATGAATTTTGCTAAACAAATTCTTCCCCATTATTTTCATCTCTCCAAGTTCCATTTACAGAGACTTCCCGGGAACTGTTGAGACTGGATCCCCTGCCCCTGCTCCCTCTCCCACATTTGCTTGGAGATTTCTTTGAAATATTGTCCCCAAAATAGACAAACAGTGGACACTGCTGCTGTGCTTGAGCTTCGCTTATGCAGTAGCCCTCAAACCCACACGTCTATCAGCTCCGTTTAGAAGGCCTGGTGATTATATCACAGGAGGCTTGTTCCCATCTGGAACGGACACTGTAAACCTGACGGCACGATCAGAGCCCACGTTAATTGTGTGTGAAAGGCAAGAGGAATGTTTGATTCTATGATTCTATGTTAAGTTTGGTCACTTGGGCCGGGAAGAGAAAGGAAAAGAAAGTAGTCCTTCTGATAGTAACTGATGGTCTCACGGGCGAACATTAAAGGTGAGATGGAAGCAAAGGTTAGCTCTAAGGTGCTGGAGCACTGGTGTACCGTGCCATCAATTTCTGATCCTGAAATGGAAAATGTTTTTATGTTTTCTTGATGCTACTACCCAGTAAACTTCAAATGCAACCAACCCCATTTCGATGAAAGCTTTTAGTGGCGCTGGCTTCCTTAGTGTTTTGAATCTAACACTCACACAAAGGTGTAAATGTTGCTTTTGCTTCCAGGTGGAATGAGAAGCATGCACTGCATTCCGCAGATGACACGTGTTGAGATGGCGCAATCGCCTTCTATTAGCTAAAAGGACACACAGTACTGTGCACAAGGCAAAGCAGGAAATGAAATCGCCTGGCTTCCAGGCTTGCCGGTGCGTGATCAGTATTTCCTACTCCGTTACACCAAGGTGGTTCACACCATCACATTAAAAGCTAGTTACCGCTCTTTGTGTGGAGAATGAAAAGACATGCTAGTGTCCTACCTGCTCCTTTGGCAGCAACAAAGCACAGAAAAGCACGGTCCAAAATCTTTCCATCTTCGAAGGCCATGAGGCAAGTAATATGCCCAGTGCACCGAGCTACACAGCAGAGGAAAACCCCAGGAAGGACATCTCTCCCGAGTCAGTGTGCACAGCACTTTGGGAACCACTGGCTTCATGGCTGAAGTACACAAAGCTAAGAGCAGGAGGTCATCCGAGCTTGACCACCTCTCCCATGAAGGAGAGTGAACTGAATGGGCCACCAGCTGAACCACGTGAACACTTAGGGACTAGCAGTCGCTGG